ATCCTCAATTGATATATCTGACCAAATGTCAAGTTACAGTACTGCTCTACGTCGCACAATTCGGTGGTACAAAAAAGTGGCGATTGAAACTATATTAGGTACATCGATTGTAAATGCACATTTTCTTTTCAAACACAATGAGGAGACTGTCATGCCTATAAACGAATTTCGAATGTCAGTCATAGAAGACCTTTTGACATTCAAAAGTCCTGATGTAGCGATACCTAGGCCGCAGCCTACACGAAATCTTCGTACTCACATTTTCTCAAAATTGGACTGTAAAGCTCGCGAGAATAGAAAATATTGTAGAGGCTGTTATAAAAAAAAGCAAGAAGGTATAATTGAGAAGAGTAAGGTGAAAAGAGTTACAACGTTTTGTTCCGTTTGCGAAGGTAATCCGAGATATTGTTTGGACTGCTTCAATACTTTTCATGGAAAGTAGTGATACCGTTTAGTTTTAGGAATTTTAACTTTACTGGTTAGAATTATTTGTTTTAGATTACCGCAAATGTATCTTTTATTATGACAATAAATGCCTACTTACACAACTAAAGGCTTTTTGTAACAAAAAAATTAAAAGAATTGTTAAAATACGGGTTACAAAAAACCTGATACTAGTGTGCTCGCATCATGGGCCATGTCAGACACTACGTTATATTAAAATACATAAGAGCGTGTCTGCTTGGCCGTGCCAAGCCGATAAAGTTGCGAAGCGGGGGCAGACACCGGTGTATGCCATGGCCCAGTCGTAGAACCTAACAGCAGACACCGGTGTATGCCCTGGCGCTAAACCTGTTAAATAACTACATTAGAGAAAAACGAATTAATATGCATGAAGACAGTCTTCTATGGTGGAAAAATAATCCGAAATATTCGGAGCTTTACGGAGCTGTACGGCAATACCTATCTTCTCCTCCATCAAGTGTCCCAAGCGAACGACTTTTTAGCAATGCTGGATTGGTATATGATGAGCTAAGAAACCGGTTGTCAGGGGAAACAGCGTCCAAATTAATTTTTATAAAAATTAACCTCCCTATAATTAAGTTTGATTATTAGTATTCAGTTCTTTTATTTTGACAGTTAATATTCGACTTAAGCAATTAATAAAGAAATAAAGACTGCATATTTATTTTCATTTCAATTCCTAAATAAAATTGTATCATTCACTCATCTTTTTTTTGTGTACGTGTGTTGTGTATGTTACCGAACTCCTCCTAAACTGCTGGACCGATTTTGATGATTCTTTATTGCGTGTCTTTTGAGAATGGTTTAGATTCATAGTTTGGTCCACTGAAAAATGCCCTTTTAATTAATTTTGTGTATGTACATATGTACCTAGTTATGTACAGACAGAACAGCGGCTTTTGGGTTGGGTCCGCTAATATTTATAATTTCCTCTTCCTCATCCGCTTCCTCATCCGCTTCCTCTTCCTCAAAAAATATCCTCTTCCTCATCCGCATCCTCTAAATTTGCGCGTGACAATTCCTCTTCCTCCTCCTCTTCCTCATAATCACTTCCTCAACAACCCTAGTCTCCATCTATTAGCAGTTTTACCAACTAAACCACGTTTCATTTGTGTAACAACATGTACTTAAGGTTAAAATGGTCAAAAGCGGGGTCTTTATCTTTTCTTTGATTTAGTGTGACTTATTTTATGACAGCGAACACGTGCACTCAGGCGTTATTACAATTACCGAATCGTTTAGTGATTTTTGACTGGTATTTTTCTATTTATAAACAAATAAAATTATTGTGGACCTTCACCCATGTAAGTAGATCATGGAGGCCATTATTTGCAAAACTTGCTAATCGACAAAATCTTAGAAATTTCTTTTTTTTTGCTACGTGCATTTCAATTTTAAAGAGGAATCGAATGATGAAATCAGAATTTCTCAAAACTCTCACTTTAGCATGTAAATACTGACGAGAAAAATACAGTTATATGCAGAACTTGCTCTTTGCTTTGACGTTTTACCTGCAAAACTCGCTGCTTGCTCTGCCACCAATAAAATTTGCCCGTTGATTCACGTGACGAACACGCTATTACAACAGGTGTTCACAAGTAACGGATTTTCAGTAGTTTATGTATTCAAGCGACTAAACATTTCACGAATCAGGAACAATTGTTTATTTTTATGGAGTTAGTAGGTGAAAATGTTTTTCCTGTTAAACCTAGTCCACAGGGAAAAGGTCGCTAAAAACTTATGTAAGTGCTTCATCTTAAACTTATGATTTTTAGACTTATGCGACAATTCAAGTTTTTTATGCAGTTTCACTTGTTTTTCGCGATGTCTTTACGTTGAGTAGGGCTACAGACAAAGTTTACTAGTCCTGTGTTGTATTGTAACAGATATATACCAAAAGCGCTGCCGACCATTCCAACTTGTGGTCATAATGGACGACCTGGATTGCCCTATTATTGTACCACACTCACAATGAAGCAGATTAAAGATTTCCATGCCTACCTTTATCAGTCAAAAGATAAAATTAAACAAGACCTTCTAATATTGGCTTGTTGTAAGGAACAAAGTCCGAAAAGAGGAAAATCTAATCATGCTGCAGCGTCGATAAAATACCATGAACGTTTGAGTGAGGGCGAGTTGATTAGAGTATGTGCCAAATCATTTCTCGGAATCACAAATTTAAGCAAGGACCGCATACAAAGAATTGTAAGAAATTTTGTTGTGACAGGGGAGCTACCCAGGGAACGTAGAGGTGGCAATAGAGTGGGTCCAAAAAATGACGAAACAAGAAACTGCATCTAAATATTTATAGAATCCATTACATGTACCGAGTCTCATTACTGTAGACGCAAGACAAGCGTAAGGGTCTACCTGCCATGTGACTTGAATTTCAAGAAACTTTTCGACCATTATCTTCGGAGAGTGCCTCAGCCTATGCATGTGAAGCTTAGTTATTTTCGAAAGTATGTGAATGCTAACTACAACATCGCTTTTGGAACTCCGTTGACTGACTGTTGCTCCACTTGCTTGAGAACAAAGGAGCAGTTGAAAGTAGCAACTTCTTTAGATGTTCGTCAAAAGTTAGTCACTGAGCATCATGTTCATATCGCAAAAGCAAAGGCTTTTTTCAAACTCCTTAAAAATCAAAAACCAAACACAACTTACTTTTCATTCGACTGCCAGAAAAACTTGGCACTGCCTAGACTGCCTGATCAAGCAGCATATTTCAGCCAGCAAATCAACTATAATAATTTTACAGTTGTCGCTGGAACTTCTACAGATAAATTAAGACCAAAAAATGTGTTTTCTTACTTGTGGACAGAAATTGACGCCCGAAAAGATTCTAATACAATAGCATCAGCTTTGCAACATGCTCTAAAGAATTTTGATTTTGATCCCAGCAAAGAAACAGTACGTTTGTTCGCTGATGGTTGCGGCGAAGAAAACAAAAATACGAATATGATGGCAATGTTGGCTTACTGGCTCCTAGAAGAATCGCCGAAACATATTAAACAAATTCAATTGATTTTTCCGATCGTCGGTAATTCCTTTATTCCGCCTGATCGCATTTTCGGCCTTATAGAAAAAGACATTAAAAAATGCTTGCTATCGTGGAAATTAGTGACTACGATGATTTAATTAGAAAGCATTCTACTATACGGAAAATCGGTATCGATTGGGATGTGTTTGATTGGAGAACACAAGCAAAACGAGTTATTAAGCTGCCCAGTTCATGGCACTTTCAATTCAATAAGGCAAAGCGGTTTATTTTTTACAGAAAAGACAAAAATGTTCTAGTTAAACGTGAGCCCAATTACTGCAGTGACGTTGGACAAGCTAAAAGCGTTTGTAAAAAAAATTTCCCTTCCTTCAATGGCTCCTGAGAAATTACCACTGGGAAAAGGAATAAAGGGGGATAAATCAACTATCAATGTTCTCCTTTCCAACCACTACGGAGCAAATTGGAGAAGCCTTCCTGAACTGAATTTTTACAAAGAACACTTGAAGACAGCTTCTGCCTCACCAGAAGAAACCGTTGATAGTTTGGAAAATTGCCAAATTGCCGAGAATGACTGTTTTTTCTCGCTTACACATTTTATTCATATTATTAAAATGTTGCAGTTTCATTTTCATGAATAAAATTCTTTACGTTTATTGTTGAACTAATTTATTTAGATATTTATTTGCAAAACTGGTTATTTGCAGTAAACATTATTTTTTTTCTAAAAATCTGTAAATATCTTAGGCTAGAAACCCCTAATTTCCATTCCTAAAAACTCTAAGCAATATTCATAAAATTCTCCACATTGCCAGGAAACACGATTCGACCGTTGATCGTTTTTTTCGATTTCCCAAAAATTGTCTTTCTAGCAAATAGCAAGTTTTGCAAATGAAGGGGGCAGTGCAAAAAGTAGCTAAGTCCACATTTTATTGAAAGTGTCTCCATCTGTCAAAATTTACCTGTACAATACTTTGGTGGTGACAGATTTATGGAAAGAAGCGTCTTAGTGCATGGCAACCCTTATGTAGATATTGCAATCAATCATCATTTCAGTGCAAGAAGTAACTGTCAAAAAGTTGCTAAGTCCACGGACTTATCCACTTTTTGAGTTTGACATCTTAGCATGCTGTATTGAGGTTTTATAACCTAACTTTTGAGAGAAGTGTCTTGTTGCTGCTCCAGTTTTGCTTCTTATCACGTTTTTGTTTGAGTTCCATACTAAAATGTCTGACAATGGTAAGTTCAAGTCCTCTTATCATGATTTATATTGTTGTAAGATGTTAATAAGCCTGTATTGGTTATGCTGACAAGGATTTTGAGATTATACAACTTTTTCTTTCTAGAATCAAGTAGTTATAGCGAAGAAGTATCTTCGGGGAGCGAATATGATCCTAACGAAGATAATGGGCGCAAGAAAAATCTGGCGATGGTTGGTTCAGATTCTTTCAACGAAAATGAACACATATCTGATAACTTAGACTCAGGTAATATTGGCAATAATCCAGCTCGTGTTGACGAAGATCTCTAAAATGTAATGAAAGGTAAAAAGAAGCTTCGCTCTCCAGAAAAATGGAAAAGAAGTTTGAAAAAACAAAAACTATTCAAAGAGAAAAATAAACGTCGTGATGTTGGCAACTGCAGATGTAAGTGTGGCTGTAAACTAAGTGAATTGGAGCAGATTGACATTTTTGAAAGATATTGTAGTCTGTCTAGCCATGCAGAGCAAACAATTTACTTACAAGGTTGTGTTAAAAAAGAGCTAAAATCCCGATCTCGTCAGCGTAAAGATGAAACATCGCGAAGTAGTACAGTTTTTTCCTATGAAGTTAGTAACGGAAGCAGTATAATTAATTTATGCCAGAAGGCCTTTTTAGCAGTCCACGGGATTTTTAAGTCTAGATTAGAGAAGAAAGTTAGGACGCAGGCAGAACCAGCAGATAATAGAGGTCGTCACACCAACAGGCCAAACCGAACCAAAACTGAATCTCTCCAGAAAGTGAGACAATTTATTTCCGAATTGCCAGCTCGTGAATCACATTACACATGATCTGATAGCCGCAATAGAAAGTATCTAGACCCTAACTTATCCATTACTAAATTACATGAAAATTTCAACGCACAACACCCTAACGATACTGTATCATATGGGATTTTCGCTAAGGTGTTCAACGAAGAATTTAATATATCATTTGCGCATCCGCGAAAGGATATAATATGCAAAACCTGCACAAAACTCCTAGTTGATATAAAACAAGCCGCAATGAAATCAGATCAAGAACTTTTGCGGACGCTGGAAGTAAATAAAGAAGTTCATCTCAGGAAAGCTGAGGTGTTCAAAACTAAGTTGGCTGAGGTTCAGAAATCAGTAGATCCTTCAGAAATGATAATATGCTTTGACTACGAAAAGAACCTGCCTTTACCTGTAACTAATGCACAAGATGAATATTACGTCAGTCAGTTATGGCTGCACGTTTTCGGCATTCACAACTTGAAAACTCATAGAACAACAATGTATACTTACACTGAGAACTTTGCTCACAAAGGACCAAATGAAGTTATAACATGTTTGAGTGATTATATTATGACAAACGAGGATCATCAACAGAGAAAGCTAAAAATATTTTGTGACAATGCATTTAGCCAAAATTAAAATCGAATTATTTTCACGTTCCTAGATCAGTTATGTAAAAATAACACTTTCAATGAAATTGAAATATGGTATCCAGTTCCAGGACATTCTATGATGTCAGTAGATAGAGACTTCGGTGCAATAGAGAAAAAAAGACTGAAGCTGGATAAGGTTGACAATCCTGAGGCTTACATTGAGCTTATCAAGAGCTGTAGGAAGAAAAATCCGTTTGACGTCGTATTTATTCAACACAGCCTTCGAACAAATGGAGATATAGCTGCAGACGATAGAGTTATTCAAGTAAAGGATTATAAAAGATGGATTATGCCATTTGTCAAGGTTTCCGTCCCAGGAATTTCTAAAATTCGTTTTGTCAGGTTTGGAACTGGAAAATCCATTCAAACGAGAAAATCCATGACGGGAAATTGCACAAATATGTCCATCTATAAAGTGGGTATGAACAGAAAAATATCTACGAATCCCAAATTGGCATATGGCGAATAGGTACCTGACAATAAAAACTAAAAAGTTTCAGTCTGTCACGAAACTTCTAAAACTAGTAACTTCCGGTGATATTGAGTTCTACAGAAGAACACTTATTAACGCCGTTGATATGGCTATACCCAGGCGCAGTGACACTGAGGGTGATATCGAAAGTGATGTCGATGTTTATGAATAGACCCTTGTTTTGTTGTATTTTTTGGTTTTTGTGAAATGTGGTTTTCATCATAATTTAGAATTTTTTTTTGTGTCGATGTTATTTTTCGGTAAATGGTATACAAGAATAATACTATTTTTGTTATGTGACACTGTAATAAAGTGAAATAAAAGTAATAGTTTTCACGTTTTATATTTTAGTATTAATTTTTCGACCATAAAGTGGCTAAGTCCAAATTTTCAGATTTTTTTTCCTCGTAATCAAATCGCTAGTTCACATCATAGTGTAAGTCCATTGAACATGTAGTTGACATGAAAAAAATTACTAGTCATTATCAATAAATGACCCCTTCAAATAAGGGCCTCATGTTCTAATTTATGTATGCATTTTGCGCCAAGGGACTTTGATATTTAGCGTTTTAAATATGTATCATATGTGATACAACATGCACTGAGGCAGTAGGGTAAGGTTGCCGATATTGGACCGGCTCCTTAATTGGACCTTTGTAGATTTGAGCGAACCGACAACAAGTGGTGCCATCCGTTAATACCAACTAGAACTACATCCCGAAAACTGCTAGAGTTTCAACACGTGTGCAGCTGTAAACAACGGTTAAGAAAATATAAGTGTTTTCGACATTATTTAACTTTCGATACAAAGATACTACTACTTACCGTTCAAGTAAGTAATCACAACATTTATAATATCTTTATTTCTCAAGATTCATTAAAGAGGCCATAGTTTAGGGATTATTTTCGTGACCTAACCTCCAAATTGGTAAAACCCGTTGTGGGTGAAATTTGATATTGTTTAGTTTTAGAACAAGGTGTCCTAAATTGGACCAGCAATTGACTTGTAAATTGGACCGGTCCAATTTAGGCAACCGTATATTGTGAATTAAACCAGTCCCATTTAGTTCTTGATAGATTTTTTTTTTCAGAATGTCATCACGTGGTAAATACGGCAAGTGGAGCACAGAAGATTTGAGCAGTGCTATTTCCGCTTTTCGTAATGGTTCTTATGGGCTGAATGAATGTGCAAGGTTGTTCAAAGTACCTAAAGCTACACTAAAAAGACATCTCGAAGAGAAAAACAAACGTGCAAATAATGCAATTAAAAAAAATGGGCAGGTTTAGTGTATTTAATGAAGAAGTTCAAGCAGAATTGGCTAAGCATATTTTGATTTTCGAAGAGCGAATGTTCGGGATGGGCATACGAGACGTCCGCAAACTGGCATTTGAATTGGCAACAAGAAACAATTTGAAACACAATTTCAACACAGATAAACGTATGGCAGGTAAGAAGTGGTATTATGGCTTCATGTCAAGACATAAAGAAATATCGTTACGGCAGCCGGAGAAGACATCAATGGCAAGGGCTGCAGGATTTAGCAAAGCACGAGCTGATAAATTCTATGAGCTTTTAAAAACGATCTGTGAAGAGGATAAATTTACCGCCACACGCATATTCAACGTCGATGAGACAGGTTGCTCAACCGTACAACGGCAATGTCAGAAAATATTAGCCAAGAAGGGAAAACATCATTTCTAGTGGAGAGAGGGGGGTAAATACTACTGTGGTTTGTTGTGCAAGTGCAGCAGGGCAGTTTGTACCACCCATGATAATTTTTAAGAGGAAACGTTTTCAAGAGGAACTTTCATTAGGTGCTCCGCCTGGCAGCATTGTCACTATTAGCGATACTGGATATATCAATAGCGATCTTTTTGTGACATGGCTTAATCATTTCATTGAAACAGTTAAGCCAAGCCCTGACGCCCCTGTTTTGCTATTGTTGGACGGCCATAGCACCCACAGTAAAAACCTAAAAGCTCTTCGCAAAATGAGGAGGAAGCACTGACGACATATTTAATCACGGCTGCATATCTACATTGTGGGATAACTAAGGTAGAAGTTAGAAAACTAGCCTACCAGTATGCATCAGCAAAGGGGAAGCGGTATCCTAACATCTGGAATGAGAAGAAATCGACGCGAAAGGAATGGTTAAGACAGTTTATGGAACGGCACCCAAATCTGTCTCTCCGAAAACCTGAATCGACCAGTTTAGCGAGATCCACGGCAGTTAATCGAGTTAATGTAACGAAATTTTTTGCAAATTATAAATGTTTTTTGCCAAGAGGAACTTTTTTCTGCAGAAAATATCTGGAAGATTGACGAGACCGGCATAACGACGGTACATGTTCCGCCTAAAATTATTAGTCCCATAGGAGTTAAATAAGTTGGACAGATAACAAGTGGTGAGCGTGGCCAAAACGTTACTTTAATTGTGGCCATAAATGCACTTGGAAACGCGATCCCACCAATGATGATATTTCCGCGGGTGCATTTCAAGACCAGTAAGCTTAATGGTGGCCCAGTTGGCTCGATTGGAACAGCCAATTCATCATGCTGGTCGAATGCAGATTTATTTTATCAGTTTATGCAACATTTTGCAAATCACGGCAAGCCGTATATCGAGAAACCGATAATTGTTCTATTAGATAATCATGATAGCCATATCAGCATCCCGACGATTGACTTTTGCAGAGCAAATGGAATTATGTTAGTGACATTCCATCCCCACTCAAGCCACAAGTTTCAACCTTCAGACAGAACAGTATTTGGGCCCTTAAAAACATACTATAACAAAGCTTGTAGTGAATGGATGTTAAGCACCTCACTCCACCAATCACGATATGACGTAGCAGAACTAATTGGTGAAGCATTCCCGCATGCTTTTACGCTTTTAAATATTCAAAAGGGGTTTAAAGTAGCAGGTCTTTATCCTTTTCACGAAAGCATTTTCCAAGACCACGAGTCCCTAACCAGTTATGTAACAGACCGTCCGTTAATTGAGAACTCTATCTCCAGTAGTGATGCATTACCATCCACAAGTTCGGATGCATTACCATCTACAAGTTCGGATACATTCTTAGTTGCCTGTACTTCATCGGAACAAGATCTGCCAGTCATCATACCTGTGAGATTGCGTCCATTCCCTAATGCATCTATGCCAGTGGTTCCTAACCTGGGGGTAATTACCCCCGCAGGGGTAAAACGGAGATTCTAAGGGGGTAACACGGGATGGCACGAAATAGTATTAAAATAGCAATAAACAAAATAATAGTACGGTAAACGGTAGCACGGCGCTCTCATGCGCGCGGCTGACGGCGACGGCGGCGGGTGAGCTGCGGTGTGGGAGGGGTGAAGCATGACTAGCGGCGGGCCGGACAGGCGGCGATGTTCATTTTGTTTACCTAAGCTTAGGAAGAACACGCATTTTATTTGTTCCGCCGCGCATTGCAGAAATCGTATTTTTAAACGGTTTAAATTCAAAGGTAAGCAGTGTTTGTTAATATCGTCACGTTAATATTGTCACGAGTGATTTGTTTACGTAGGTATGTATTAGTTGATTTTTGTTTTAGGTACCTACAGGTGTTTTTGACATGGCTTCTACTTCATCTGGCAAAAAGCGCACTTATAAAGAAGCATTTCTACAATGGGGTTTCACAAGCATCGTAGACAAAAATATAGAAAAGCCTCAGTGTGTTTTATGTAATAAAGTGCTTAATCCAGAAAGCATGAAACCGAGCAAATTAAAAGAACATTTTGCTAAAGTTCACAAGGAGTTCGCAGATAAAAATATAGATTTTTTTAAGAAAAAGGAGAGGATTCTGAAGTCTTCCCGCATGGATTCAACAGGCAATATACAGAAAGCAAATGAATCATGCCTTCAAGCTTCATACAAAATTGCTTATCGCATCGCACGTAATAAAAAACCACACACTATAGGAGAGGACCTCATCAAACCTTGCTTGTTAGATGCAGTAGCACTTGTTATTGGTGAGCAACATGTAGCTAAGATTAAACAAATCTCACTCTCAAACACTACTATTCAAAGTCGCATATGTGAAATGAGTGCCGATATTCTAGCAACCGTTATTTCTGAAATAAAGGAAAGTCATATGTTTGCGCTGCAGTTGGACGAGTCCACAGATGTTGCTTCGTGTTCACAATTATTGGTGTTTACACGATACATTAAAGATGATGATGTAAAGGAGGAATATTTGTTCTGCAAGTCTTTGCCCACTACTACTCGCGGCGAAGACGTATTTCAAACGCTAAAAGAGTTTATTGAGGAAAATGGCCTAGACTGGTTAAAGCTGATTGGTACTTGTACATGATGGGCATCCGTTCTGGTTTTCAGGCACTCGTGAAGCAAGTTGCTCCTCAAGTTTTCGGCTATCATTGCTTGATACACCGTTACGCTTTGGCTGTGAAAACGCTTCCATCAGATTTGCTAAACACGTTGAGTGACATAGTAAAAATTGTTAATCATATTCGAGGCAGCGCTACTAACTCAAGATTATTCAAAGTTTTGTGCGATGAAGTTGGTGCTACATTTAATGCTCTTTTGTACCATACAGAGGTACGTTGGTTATCAAGAGGCAAAGTTCTAAGTAGGGTTTACGAATTACGAGAAGAAATTGGATTGTTTTTTGAAAATCAGAGAACACAAAAAGAAAAAGAATATTATGCAAAAATTAAAGACCAAACATTTATTCTAAAAATGGCGTACCTTGCTGATTTTTTCACTGAAATTAATAGTCTGAATATTTCACTGCAAGGAAATGAAACGAATATTTTGACGTTGCAGGATAAAATCGCAAGTTTTTTGCGCAAATTGGAACTTTACCAACGCAGAGTTCAAGCTGGTGATGTGTCAATGTTTACACAACTAAGTGAGCAATTAGTAAATAATAAACAAGAGAAAATCTCGTTTGAAAATTCCGTGGTTCAACATTTAACTGCCGTGATAGACTCACTGCAGCAATATTTTCCGAACATGGACAGTCGTGAGTCCTACTCCTGGATTTTAAGACCATTTTCTACTTGCGTCGATATTTTCAAGGACGAAGATGTGTCAGCAAAAGTAGAGTTTCTCGGGCTGCGTGAGAATAACTCATTGAAAGTTGATTTTCAAAATGATAAACTAAGCACATTTTGGCGAAAAGCAGCTGCAGAATATCCCATTATAGCTGACAGAGCTTTAAAAATGTTGATTCCATTTGCTACAACTTACAGATGTGAAACTGGTTTCTCAACTCTTGTTACATTAAAAACAAAAGCCAGAAACCGTCTGAATGTTGAGCATGACATGAGATGCGCGTTGAGTGAAACCGAACCTAATATTGTCAAACTTGCGAATGCAAAGCAATTTCAACCTTCACACTAGTTAACTCCAAGATTTACATATTACTTTACTTTACTAGTTACCTAAACGTGCAATTTCTTAGAATTTAGTTAGATAATAAACATATTTTCGTTCGAATTTGTGTGGTTTTAATTATTTTAAATTGGCTAGGGGTAAACTCAATTCCCATACTTGTTCACAGGGGTAGTGACATTGAAAAGGTTAGGAACCACTGATCTATGCGGAAGAAAACCGGTGGTCGTCCCAAAGGCAAGTCGCGTATTCTTACGGATATGCCAGAAAAAGAGGGATTAGAATGAAAACAAGAGCGCGGATTGACAACTAATGGTTGTCAATCAAGCGAACCTTGCCGTTTGCTCACTGCATCAGATTTACGTACTGTTTTTTCTGTACTTACATGAGCAATGAAATCAATTTATTATTATTATTATTATTATTATTATTATTATCATCTGAAGATTGTTAAAAATGTTACCAAAAATGTATCAAAGAAAGATCATAAAGTTAAAGTCACAGTGAAAAAAAGAGAACTTGATTCCTCTGAAAGTGAATCAACTCCTTCATTATCTTCTGGAGAGCATTAAACTTTGAAGTAAATCATTTCTAAAGATAGAGAATGGCTAGATATTGATACTTTGCACCAGTTAAATGAAAACTATCAATTTCATGGAGGTGATTTTGTACTGGCAAAAGTAGCAGCGAAAAACATAAAATATCATGTTTGTGAAATCATAAGCATAGGCGATGAAAATGAACTTAGGTACCTGTGTTAACAAGTTAACAACACTAATAAATTTGTAGATGATTCTGTAGAGACATACGACTTTTGTTCTACCGACTTAGTTTGTAAGCTACCGCAACCAAAAACCGTAAAAGGGATTGCTCGACATAGTTCTTTATTATATTTTGAAGTTAACTTTGACAGCCATAATGTTAGTTAAAGCCCACAGTATTTTGGGAATATTATATGTAGAATATTAGACTAAGTTTTATTTCTCTCTTTACTTTGGACCAAGGTACAATCGTTTGTGGACCAAAGTACCTACATGACGAGTTTGAACCTTGGACCGGTTTGTATTACTTGCAGCCTCTTTATTTCTGCAAAATCAGTTCAGAACACTTAAAAGCAAACAAATTACAGCATCATTTACAAAAATACGTCCAGCACCTTCCATATAAAATTTCGATACACCGGGTAGAAAGCTACAAAGAATGTGGGACACTCCAGAGAGGTTAAAAAAGCCCTTTTTAGAGAAGTGTTGAATGAGCAATTGGAAGAGAATTAAGCCAATTTGAATACCCCTGAATAGAAACACATTTTTGTGAAAATTGTGTCTGG